AGACAGAGGCAATAAGAAGGAAAGTGAGAAATCACCCCTAAGGGGATAATGCCATGCTGCAATCCCTTCTCCTCCATTCTCCCTGTGGATTTTGGGCACATACATATGCACACCCAGTGTGAGTCTCAAGATGCCAGGTCCAGGACTCAAACTATGGTCAGCCAGGAGGGAGTCCAGCACCTTAACCACTACACCACCTGCTGGCCCCCTTTTTTCTATTTTCAAAAAAGACAGAGAGAAACTTATTATGAGAGACTATTCCTATCTTCCCTCTAGTAGTATTATATATCTGCAGCCTTGCCAAAGGGTCAAAGTGCATGGAGTGTGCTTCCACCTCTCAACTTGGGCTTGACCACGTGGTCAACAGGAAGTTAGCAGACCTGACACTCACAGAGGTTTGAAATATTCCTATGTAGGTTGACAAGTATTCTCATGCTCCTGCCTTTACCAGAAGGTAATACTTCAGGTAGTCTCTGTTCTAAGGAAGATGACAGACATATTGCACAGATCTGGACCGAAACCGTCTCCTGAATCCAAGCCTCACAGAGCTTAACTAGCCCATCAGTCACGGAAACAAAGAAGAAGTACTTTTATTGTTTGCTACTGACATTTTTGTGGTTATGTTCTCACTTACATACCACTGAATGCAACAACAACAGGAACAAAAAGCTCAGAACAAAACTGTCATGGATTGAACCAAGGTATAAAAAGGCCACAGCATCCTTCATAAGCCTGTTTCCAAAGGAGGGCTCCTCCACCTCAGTTTGAGGAAAGGCCTTAGCATATGGTAACTGTTTCCCTCCCTCTCCTTAAATAAACAATTATTTCATTACAATTATAGAAAGTCCTAAGAAGCATGAGATACTAAGATCATTCGACATTAGAGTTCATGTTAAAAATACATTGTAAGCATCATCTAATGTTAAAACATATTTTTATGGCATGATTTGTAATGTTTATGATGCTTTCCCATTTTATGTGTATACCATATGTTTAATCAATATTCTTTTGCTAACTACTTAGATAATACACAATTTTAATTATTATAAATAGTTCTGCTCTAAGTATAACTAGAGTTAATTCTCTGCACATTCACAACTCTTTCCTTGTGATGAATTCAGAGAAACAAAATTGCTGGGTTAACAAATGTGTAGATTTTAAGATTTTTTAATAGGTATTAATTGCCTAGTTTTAATTTACTTTTGTGATTAAGGAACCAGGACTGATTCAACCCCATGTTTGAGTCAGCCCAGATTCTCCTCCTAAGATTCACTCTTAATTAATCCTGCTGGATTTTACAGTTTACTAAAAACATACTGGGTATCGACTATGCAGCAAACAGTGTAGTAGTAGGGAGCACAGACTCTGGAGCTGCAATAACTGGGTTCAACTCCTGGCTCTGCTATTTTTTAAGCACCATGACCTTGCATGGGTTCCTCAACCTGCCTGGGCCTCAGTGTCCTCATCTATAAAATGTGTATAAGAATTCCTCCCTCAGACACACAGACATGGAATAAGAATTAAATTAGTCAGTAAATGTAATGGCACTTGCCCCATAGTAAGCTTTCAATGTTAGCTGTTATTATTCTTAGGGATAAATAAATAGGCTACAGATCTTCCTCTCAATGACCAAAAAAATATAATGAACCTCATCAAGGGCATTGGCAAAATTTTTAAACTATGTACTGAGGCTTAATAAAAATCTATGTTTCAAGGAAAATAGAATATCACTAAAGAAAAGATCCTTGAATTAAAACAACGTGAAGCAATGGAAACGTAGTTTTTAGTAACAGAATAGAGCAGGCATAGGCTCCTAATGGCAAAAGCAGTTAGATCGAATCTAAGTTTAGGAGCAGGGTGTGCACTAAGTTCAGAGAACATGTGATTATTTATGGTTACCTACAACTAGCGGAAACCACGTTTTTTTTAAAGATCAGAGGTGATGCTGTCTTCTCTCTGATCCAACATTTGACACTAGCCCGTCACAAACGTAGTGCCTGTCATAAAGTAGAAATTCAGTCAACAAGGTTCTCCATCAACTTGAAATCTCCCCAAATTCAATTAGTTATGCAGCATGACGAATAGCTGCCCATCACAGGGCTAAGTGCTTTGCATCTATTATTTCATTAAATCCTCGGCCAAGCTATCTAGAGGACTAATTAAGAATGTTTTTTTCATAATCTAATACAACTTTTTAAAAACTGTTTTCAAAAACAGGCTGATGTTCAATGGATTTTTAAAGCTCATCTCTAAGGACTATTAAACAAATTAAAAATTATCTAACCAGAGATTCAATTACCAAAAATAATTGTATAGCAACCTAATTGTATAAGGATAGAATTTCTAGAGCTCTTAAGGTTATGCAATGGAAATCAAGTCTGGCTAATATTTTTAAGAGAAAAATAAAATTTAATTTTTCAGGTTATATATCTGCATAAAGAGCCATTTTCTTGCAATATTTAAAGGCCTTAAATAATACTTCAAGCAGAAATGGAGAGAAAAACTGCTGCCCCTAATGTCAAAAATAAGTTTATCAAGGTAAGTACATTTTTCTAAGTGAAATTAATAAATTAGAGTCTTTTCATCTTTAAGATATAATTTCCTCACCTAAAGAATAAGGGTAAGACTAAATAATCTATAGGGTCTCCCACCTGAAAAAGCCAATAGTCCACATTTATAAAAGGGAAGCAAAATATTCTAACAAGCATTAGCAGACGTAAAACTCAAGTGAAAACATTTCCCTTAAAGTCAGTGAAGTGCATGAATTTTCTGAATTTCTTCCTCCTGGCCAGAGGTCAGTTTAGTCTCCCACTCCCTCAGCATACCACACTGCGTCAAGGTTTCAGACTACTGATCTTGTGCCAGAAGCATTTCTGGTCCCAGAAACTTCATCTCAAAAATGTCAAAATTCATAATTCTTCCTCAAAATATAATTACACTTATTTTCCAGACCATTTTTAAACTAGTAGACAAGATTGTCATATGTAGAAAAAAAATTGTTTTCAGGTTTCAAAAGCAATAAAGTGGGCCAAACCGTGGTCTAAGAGCAGCACAATTGAACGCATGCTAGAAGATCATGTTCCAGGGCCTCCTTTTGCATACTGGGCACTCACAGGCCCATGATCAGGGCTGACTAAGGTGCAGGTGGATTGTGGCATTAGGGATCTACTGGGGAGTACTTTCTGTCCCTTTCTGTCTGTCTCTCTCTCTCTCATGGCAGAAATAAACTTGTTTAAAAAGTAAATTTCTTCAACCAATTTATATTTAGGCTTAGTCTCTGTGGCTCAGGATACAGTACACCAGACCAAGGAGCAGGAAGCCACATGGTGACTGAAGTTTGAGTTCCAGGATTGTGGTGGGCTAAAGGATTGGAGGAAGAGGATCAAGGCAGAACTGCTGTTTCTCTTTCTGACTCTTAATCTTGTATGCATGTGTACATGCACTCTATCATAAATAAAAATATATTAAGAGGAAAAAGAACTTAGAAGACATAATGGGTATTTAACCTTTAGCAATTTAAAGGTACCTTTTAAAACATGAAATTTAAAATTTAAGATTTTTTTTTTCCTTTTTAAGGCCGTGCTCTAACTTATCTTAATTTGGCTATTTTTCTTTTTCTTCTTTTTTTTTTTTTTGAGAAGTTTTTACTATAGGGTGTGTGCGCTTGCCAGACAGACAGAGACAGAGAGACAGAAAGCAGGAAATCACGCCCCCCCATGGGGGATGGCCATGCCGCAATCCCTTCTCCTCCATTCTCCTCTCGGGATCTTGGGCACGCACACACATGCACCCGACGTGAGTTTAAGCCACTGGGTCCAGGACTTGAACTGTGGTCGACTACGTGGGAGTCCAGCGACATAGCCATTATGCTAACTGCTGGTCCCAATTTGGCTATTTTTCAAGTCAATAAGTGACTTGTGAGTTTTCTGGATCTGAAAATGTTTAACATTAATTTAACAATGCAATTTAAAAATGGGTAAAAGGATTAGACCATATACTTCACAAAACAAGATCTGCAGATATTTAATGAGCACAAGAAGATATTCTACTTTTTTTTTTTTTTTCTGGAGAGATTTTTGCTATAGGGCGCGTGCGCTCGCCAGACAGACAGAGAGAGACATAGAGACAGAAAGCGAGAAATCACCCCCCAGGGGGGATGGTCATGCCGCAATCCCTTCTCCTCCATTCTCCTCTCGGGATCCTGGGCACGCACGCACACGTGCCCGGCGTGAGTTTTAAGCCACCGGGTCCGGGACGTGAACCGCGGTCGACTACGTGGGAGTCCAGCGACATAGCCATTACGCTAACTGCTGGTTCCCAAGATATTCTACTTTATAGTCATCAAAGAAATACAAATGAAAACCACACTGTGATATAATTACACTAAAAAAGCTGAAATTACGAAGACTAGCAATATTGCAGGCTAAAGAGGTTACAGTGACACTGGATCATTCATCCCCTGCTGGTGAGAATGTACCATAATGTAATTTTGGAAACATCTGGCCATTTCTTATAAAGTTACATATGTATCACTACTATACACATACAACATGTGTGAATATTAAAACATACTGAACAAGAGAAGTCAGACACAAAAGACTACGTCCTATGTAACTCGATCAATATAAAACTCTTAGGAAGATGAATCTATAGTGATAGAAAGCAGCTGCATGATTACCTGAGGCTGAGAGGAGCTAACCAGGAAGGATATACGGAACATTTTGTGTGTCAGTCATGTACATTAGGGTATCACTCGGCCTAAAGCCAGCCATATGCGCTTAAAATGGGATCATTTCTTGTATGTAAATCATATTTCAGTACAGTTTACTTTAAAAATTCTTAATTTAACTGCTTTCTAGGTTTGATGGGATTTTACCAAAAGGTTTGCAGAGAGGCAGGCCCATCCCTAACCAGGCTGACTTTCACACATGGAGCCCTATGGCCATGCAGGGACTCAAGAAACGCAGTTCTTGCTCTCCTCTGCATCACCCCTGACTCACCGGTCAGGGCCCCTCCCAGGCTCCCTCGCCGCAGCTGTCTTCCATCCTCACTCAGCTGTCTTTTATACTTCAGTGGTTTTCCAGGACCAGAAGCCACATCTGGGTTGCTGCATTTCCGGAACGGCATGGGTGGAGGAGATAGTATGTGGTCAAGCTGCAGAGAGAAGGACAGTGGCATCATTTGCAGGGGACACTCAACATCACCTAGAATGAAAAACATACATTCTTCCTCTTGTTTCCTTCTCTAACTCCCTTTTTCCTAATTCTGTTTTTCCTTTGGCTTGTTTAGAGAAGTCAAGATTTTATTGACGTGTCTTCCATCTGAAAGCGTCTGGCTTGCTGCAAAATCTCAAAATCCCAGTGCGTTTCAAGCTACAGGTTACAACACATTAGTGTGTCATAAAATCAAGCTTAGCAAATTGTGACAAGTATTTCCTAATGTAATAGAATTGTAAGTTCGCTGAAGAAGAGGAAAGTACTATTTCAAGAATTGTTTCATTCAGTTACCCATGTGTAACTGTGTATGTGTGTCCTGGGTTACCATATAAAATTTATCTTTCCGAGGGCCATGGTCACTCCCAAAATATGGCTTTATGGAGAAGCAATATATCACTTCTTCATTTGATCACAAAAGAAAATTCACATATCGTTCACAAATATACGTACAAGACAGAATTTCTAAGCACTAGAGTTCTTAATGGAAATCAATACATCCCTACATCACTTTATAGCTTTTCAAAAGAAAACCTGTCACGAGAATCACAGAAAGCCAAGTCCCTTCAAGAGATAGCTTTCTACAAAAGAATCCCTTGTGTCACAACACTTATTTTAAAATCTGCTCTGCTTTTATAAGAAAACCTTTTATACTTACATAGAGTTATATTTTCTAAAATGTTCCCTTCAATAAAATACCTAGGAATGTATATGTGACTAGATAGTTATTAAGGACAAAAATATTTACATGCATGAACTTATGTCCAGATAGTTATTAAGAATAAAAAAGTACAAACATATTCAGATAGTTTTAGAAGTTACAATTGTCACAAAAAAGAACTTTGTACAAATTTTAAAACAGAAAAGGGGTAAGTAACAGAAACAAAGCCAGGCTTTTTTTTTTTTTTTTAGATTTTTGCCATGGGGCACATAAACTTGTCAAGAGACACAGAGAGTGAAAGAGAGTAAGAAAGAGAGGGAAAGTAAGAAATCACCCCTGAGAGGAGATGGCCACAATGGCATTCTCCTCTTGGGTTTTGGCCACATATGCACAAACACACCCAGCGTGTTTTTCAAGTCACCAGGTCTGGGACTCAAACTCAGAGTCGGCCATGTGGGATTCAGCAACTTTGACCTCCACACCACCTGTTGCCCCCAAACCCGGCATTCTGAGGCACATCTCACTGAGATTTGTTTTGTCTGCAAGTGAAAAGTGGTGGTCACGCTGTTACACCTGTCCGTGTTTTTGTGTTGTTTTGTTTTGTTTTGTTTTGTTTTTGGATTTACACTAACATGGATGTATTTACAGAAAGAAGAAAGTCAGAGAATAGGTCATCCACTTGTCTCTCTACACACTGCAGCATGTTCAAAATCATTGCACAAAAAGAAACTCGACCCTGCCTATTAGTAACCCCTTCCAAGTTAGTGGAGACAAAACAGCCCTCATCGGCAGCCAAGACTCAACTTTCCTGCAAGCTCAATTGCATTCATTGGTAACAAAAAACAGCTGATTTCAGGCACTTCTCAGTAAATACCTTCTGAAACTCATCGCCAGTCAGTACTTGCTATATTTCAGTGCCAGTATTTTCAAGAGAGGCCCTTGAAGAATGAGCAGTCTCTTCACTCTGGGATAAAAAGCCAGATCAGTAAGGGAAAGGGATCCCAGAGTGTACTTTACTTTGAAAAGAAACAGCCCTTTCAAATAAGGTATTTATTGAGGGTGCTTTCATTATAACAGTCTCCAATTTAGGAGGGCCTCCTAAGAGGAATTTCTGTCCAGCTTCAGATATTTTGCCTTTAAGTCTTTTAAAAAAAAAAAAAATTTTAGAGGTTTTTGCCTTAGGTCATGTGTGCTAGCCTGGAGAAAGAGAGAGACAGAGATACTGAGAGGGAAAGTGAAAAATCACCCCAAGGGATGATGGCCGCATGACCGCGCTGCAATGGCTTCACTTCCATTCTCGTCCTGGGCTCTTGGACATGTGCCCACACGTGCCTGGTGTAAGTTTCAAGCCACCAAATCTGAGACTAAACCACAGTTGGCATGTAGAAGTCCAGCAACGTAACTGCTATGCCATCTGTGGCCCCACCCTTAAGACTCATAGACAATGAATTGGAGTCAGGGAAACCTAAACACATTCAGCTACTAGAAAACGCAGAACTCAATGAGCTGTCTAACTACTATCAGGTCACTGACAATATTTTTGCCTCTTTCTATATCCTTATTTCATTTTTTTCCACTAATTTTTTTTTTTTTTTACTTTGGAAAGTTTCAGAAGATAATTGGCAGTTACAGAGCACTGATGAGCACCCACATTCTCTCTACCGATGGTGAAATTTTAACCTCTTGCCACAGTAAGTACTTTCTGCTCTTTCTCCCTCTCGACACACATAGACACAGTGAATGTTAGTTGGAGACATGATGGATCATCACATCTAAATACTTTGGCCTCTTCTAAGAATAAGGATATTTTCTTATAGTCTCCCATCCTGTAATCTCCATGTTCTTATAAAGTGTCTCAAGTCTTTTGTGATTGAGGTGAAGTATAAATACGGGAAAAAATATAAAATAAGGTTATAGCATGTAGATGCAACATTAAAAATGTGCTCTTTTTACATGACAAGGAAAATGTGCAACCACAAGGTGGCAATGTGTCATAGGTATTCTACAGACTGCTCCCGACGGTTAGTGAGTGCACCAAGAACAGGTGGCCACCTCTCACCACAATCGAGCGAGTTAGGGACCATTCCACTTTGTTATTTTCTCTTAATTACTAGTGACAGGTGCATAAAATACAAATATTTATTGTTTAAGGTTCATCAGCTTCTCCTACTTATTTTTCACCCGAGGTTCCATTTTTCAGCTTGCAGAATTAGCATTAATTACTCTGGAGAAGATAGTGTTATCACAAATAACACACTTTCTCTTCAGTGGAAAGATCATTCCTAAATAGGAATTATGCGATTTCCTTACACATTTATAACGAAGCCATAAAAGATATGAAACAAACATAGAAGAAAGAGAAGGAAATCAAGGAGACAGTATAGAAAAAAAAAAAGAAAAGAAAAAAATCAATTTCATCACATATATACAGAACTACAAGCTATTAGTCTATAAGCCAGGGTTTTTAATCACAATCCCAACCCCAAGAGGGGAGTATTATTTTAAATCTGGGAAAATTGAGGCAGTGAACTGTGAGGGCTGCCAATGTTTCATATATTATATGAGTAGAAAAACCTATAAGCAAAGTACAATGTTCCAAGATCCCATTTCCTTCTTCATACCAAAACACATTCCCAACAGGGCTCTCTCTAAATAGACCATTTTTCCAAATTTGCTGTGTTGTCAGTGGCTTTACTATTCCTTCTACAATTAGTCAAAGCTTCTCAAAATGGTCCACTGCAGCTCTGCAATTTATTTTTCATATTTTGTCCTGATTTGAACACTCATGATTCCTTTAAAAACATTTCATCACACTCTAGAGCTAATGGTAGACATCAACCATGTCACTTTGGACATTGCCCTTTAAATGATTTCAAAGTAATGTTTTCCAACTTCTTCTTCTTCAAAAAAAACCTCCCCAAATCTTCATACTACAAGGAGTTTTAATGAAAGACAGAGGCTGCCTTGAAACTTCCAAGGGCATTTAGGTCTGGGCATGGCATGTTTCACTTCAAACACTTCTAATTCCCTCCACTAAGCAGACCAGCCTTTCCCAGAAAACAGGATCCTACTTCCTTGTCATTTAGCTTTCTGCTCTCTACAAATAACATGAAACTGAAACATTCCTTAGAAATCTAAGTCTTCAAAATTCCCAGAAAAGAGGACCAGCAATTAGTATAATGGCTATGTTGCTGGACTCCCAAGTAGTCAACCACGGTTCGAGTCTCGGACCTGGTGGCTTAAACTCATGCCAGGCACATGTGCCTGGATCCCAAGAGGAGAATGGAGGAGCAGGGATTGCGGCGTGGCCATCCCTCATAGGGGCTGATTTCTTGCTTTCTGTCTCTCTGTCTCTCTTTGTCTCTCTGGTGAGTGCACATGCCCTAAAGCAAAAAAAAGCTCTCCAAAAAAAAAAAAAAAATCCCAGAAAATTCATATATGAAAAAACAGTGCATCATGGATTTTCAAAAATGTCTGCATCAAAAATAAATTCTTATTTTAATTCCATATTTCTACTAACTTTTTGAAGTTCCCTCACATTTCCTAGCTTCATTCAGTAATACAAACATTAATTCCTGGGGACTAGATTTGTTTAAAACCTCCTATACTAATTTCCTCAATCTTCTATAGTTCTAAGAGCCATAGGACAGCTTTAAGGGGTGCAAGTGCATGTTATTGAATTTAGAAGCCAGACGGGGGTCTAGCGCACCACCTACATGTGAGTGATGTACAGATGTTCTTGCTAGCAGCTCATCAGAGGAAACATGAAAGCATCTTAAGACAAAAGATGTATAACTAGGATTAAGTCTGATGAAAATATGGGGGAAAGCTTCTAAAATGATCAGTCCTATAAAAATGCTCATCATACACAATTCGCATAATAGAATTTTTTATCTGTATTTCCTATATTTATTATGCCCACCTATTTTTGCTATTTTACAAATGATTAGACTGAGAAAAATAGAAGACTCCACCATAATTACACGGTGGCTTATATCATCTGTGAAGATGAATTAAAAGGAAAATTGAAAGAAAATCACTTATAGAGCTCAATCTAATTTTCTTTATTGTCTCAGCCTTCCCCATTACTAGTAGTACTATCCCCAAACACAGCCCATGGGTTTCTTTCTCTATGGTTATATCCCCCAATAATACCATCTATTTCTAAAACAGCATTCTGTAACTGTCCAGGAACACTGACCTTTCAGTCTTAACTGACAATGTTCTTTTTTTTATTTTTTTAATTTGCCAGAGGATGCATGTGCTCTCCAGAAAGAGGGAGAGAGAAAGTGAAAGTAAGGAGGCACCCACCATGGGGAAGGGTCATGCTGCAATCTCTTGTTCTCCATTTCTCTTCCTTTCAGGATCTTGAGCATGCACACACATGTGCCCAATGTGCTTCTCAAGCTGCTAGGTGCGAAACTCGAACCATGCCATCAGCCATGTGGAATCCAATTGCCTTACCCACCACACCACAGACTGTCTCCCTAACTCACAATTTTCTCCAACCTCTTCTCCACACATTTTCATACACCATCACATGAGTTCTCTAATTCATAGTTTCTAGAGATCAACATTGACTATAAGAACAGATAGAGTTTTCCAATTTCAGGAAAAAGCTACTCCTGTTTTGTAGTTACTCAGATCACAAACCTTATAGTTATTCTTCTCTTTCTCACTCTATAACCAACCAGAAAGCCCTCTAGCTCAGCCTCCAAACTAGATCCAGAAATCTAATCACTTCACCACTGCTGCCACCACCACCCCTGTCCCTGATACCCTGACTTCTCTTGCAATAGCCCCCAAACAGGTCTCTCTGCTTCCTCCTTGGTCTCAGCATAGCAGCCAGTGGCCCTTCGATACAACCTGGTACCCCAGCTCCTCTGCTGGAGTCTTTCTACCACTTCGCCTTCACCCAGAACAAAACCCAAAGTCTTGACAGCAACCTACAGGCCCTAACACTTCGACCTCCACCTCCCTGATCCCAGCCCCTACTACTCCTGCACATAATCTACTTTAGTCTTGTCAAACCTCAGCTGCCCACAACTTCTTCCTACTCGGGGCCTTATATTGATCACTTGCTCAACCTGGGAAACACTCCAGATACTAATCACTGTGCCTCCTCCAATCTCCAGGTCTCCATTCAAATGTCACTCCTTCAGGGAGGCCCTGTGTAACTGTCAAGGGAAAATAGCAGGCCCCTTACTTTACTCCCTATTCTTTTTATTCAAAGTTTATTTCTACCATGAGAGAGACAGAGAGTTAGAGACACAGAGAAAGAGAAGTTATCCCGACAGGGTCTTCACACCAAGATTCTACCTCCAGCCTCCGTCAGTCAGGAGCACAGGCACATGCACGGTGTGCACAGAGAGACGTCAGGACACAAGCCCGGGATCAGCACTGTGGAGTCACACTGCTGCTGCACCACCATAGCTGGCACTGTTCCCTTTGCTCATTTTCCCTCATAGAATCTACCACCACAATGACTTACGAGATCTCTCGTACTGATTCTTGCCAGACTTCCTCTACTAAAATGTAAGTCACATCAAGTTACATGCTGGTTTGTTTTGTTCACTGTTCCATCCCTGGAGCAGTGCCAAATGCATAAAAGCACCATGTAAAAATTAGTGGAAAAAAAATGAACTATAAATCTCTAATATTTAGTTAAAAATGTAGTAACAGGGGACCAGCAGACGGAATAATGGTTACGTCGCTGGACTCCCACAGTTGACTGTGGTTCAAGTCCCAGACCCAGCAGCTTAAACTCAGACCAGGCATGTGTGCATGCGTACCTAAAATCCCGAGAGGAGAATGGAGGAGAAGGGATTGCAGCATGGCCATCCCCCTGGGGGGTCATTTCTTGCTTTTTCTCTCTCTGTCTCTGTCTCTCTGGTGAGTGTAAGCACCCTACAACAAAAATCTCTCTAAATATATATATAACAAGAAAAAAAATAGAATTCATGCCATAAAGGGCTTTTATTGTTCAAAAAGTACAATAAAATTATATTAAGTGTTACTCAAAGTAAAATGCTAAAATGAGTCTCTAGTATTTTGATATAATAGAACATTTTAGATAACAAAAAGACCCTTACTTTACAGTACATGGCATTTTTTTTTCAGAGAATCTCTTCTCTATACCAAACTGATATGCTAATTTTTGTACATGGATACCTCTGAAGGTGAGTCCTCAATAATGTATTATTCGACCTTTTAACTGTACCCCACTAGCATATTCACTGGTGTCTATCAATCCAACCTTTTCTTAGCTCCATGCCTCTTTTCAGTATTCCACCTTCATTCCCAAGATGAAGGCACATGCATTTTAAAGACCCATCCAGAATGCATGTGCCCTAAGGCCAAAGTTCATTAGTTCAAAGGGATCACCAATGTCATCTGCATACATAATGAGGAACTCACTGGTAAAGTCCTTCTTGTAATAAAAAGAGAGAGACCGCTGGTAGGTTATGAAGACAGTGTTTAGTTTTTCTGTTTCTTTTAAATATTCTAAGAAGCCAAAGATATGAAAATGCATAAATAATTTCAAAATTGCATAGACTATGCTCGTAATCTTAAAGACTACCTCTCCCCCAACCCGCCACCCAATAATCAAATTGGCAACCTGAAATGGCTTTGCTATGTTTCAAATCTGCATTTTATTTACTTTTACACTGAAGCCTAGAATCAATATTTTAAAATTTGGGAGAACAGGCTTCTATACTTAAATAGTCATTATTGGATTCATCCTAATTCCACAGTGGTTAGGAGCTCAGACTAGACCCCACACTCAAGTCTCCCAATGAAGATATTTAACCATGCCAGAACCTGCTTCCTCATCTACACAGTGTTGATAACCACAGAAGCTGTCTCCTGAGGTGGCTGTGAGGACTGTAAGAGTGGAAATAGGTAAAAGCCTTCGGACAGGGCCGGACACACAGTGCACAATCGATGCTAGCTGTGCTATTGATGGTCCTACCTACAAATCACCTCATTCGTTTTCTAGGCAAATATCTCACATGTACCTCATTTTAAATGGTTTTCAAGCCAATTAAACTGATTACAATTTCACCAAGGTTGTGGTTTCTCTTAGTGTTGAGGACTAAAGTGAGAATTTGGTGGAAACGGCTTTCACTTGGTATCAGGCCGCAATGCTCATGCCTAAGTGCTAGAGCTCAGAAGTCCTGGGCATGATCACCCACTGACTGGGTGGGTGTTGTCAGCCATGTCTTCAGCATGGGGCAGAGCTGTAAGTGGAGAGAGCCCAGACTGTATCTGAGTTGTCAGGGACAGAATCCCAGTACCATGAGCTGAGCAAACTACTTCTCTCTGACGTATGGCCACAGAGGTGGTGAGGGTGCAGACAAATGATGCATGAAAATAGGCTTGGTACATGTAAAAGGGGACTACAAAATGTTCACTGAGAAATAGAAGCAAAGTACAAGCTTATTTTGGTGCAAAAGAAACTGAAATCCATGCATAATTCTTCATAATCCATACTATTTTTCCATAAGTTCTTTGAAGGCCCTGCATAGGCACTCAATAACGAAAATACTGACGGCAAGTGTCATTATCATCACAGGCTCAGCGCCAGTCTCCCATTCCTGTGGCCTACTGCCTGAGAAAGCGAGTTAGTTTATCTGGGCCTTGTTAGTAGCACTACTCAGACACTGTTCCATACTCTTCAAAGAATATAGAAAAGATAACCATGTGTCATTCTCTGCACTGCCTGAAGAAATATGCAACACCCCTTCCATGGCATCAATACCCCTTCATGGCATCCTAAAAATCTGACAATACAAGGAGTCAGACCACCAAGAGAACTGTAATCCTGGACCACACTGCACTGGGGCCCGTTTAATTGATTTTGCTGACATTCATTTTAGATTATGCCACCCAGAATGCATACTTCTATTTAATGGCACTGCAAGAAATAGCCTTATAAATCCTGCCACTGTTCTATAAACACGTAAGGAAGGGCCTCTATTACACAGTGTCCTCCTTGTCAAGACCATCTCTTTTTTATAGAAATTTATCAAGCAGCTATGTTCCAGTTAAACGTGTGCTCTGGGCATAGCAGTGGGCAAAGCAGCAATGAATAAAAACAGACAAAATCCCAGCCTACCAGTAAGAGAGACACCTGGAGAAAAATTTTTCCATTCTCTGTATGAGACCTAGCTATGCTTAGGCAGGTCATGGTCTGTTTTCATCAGGGGGCCTTGTGAACCACATAACTAGTCACATCTGCCTACTTTGGTCCTGGAACTCCCCAGGCAAAGCCTATCTCTGGCAAGCATGGCATGTCCCACCTCCAGTCAAAGAGATCGACTTCATGAATCACCTGGGGGGCTAACCTCCACCCAGATTTTCACCTTAACCCATGCTAAATCTTACCCCTCCCAGGGATAACATGGCAATGTGTGGAATTATTTTTAGTTGCCACAACTCGGAAGAGGAGTGCTGCTGGTACCTACTACCCAGAGGCCAGGAAGGCTACAAATATCCTGCAATGCCCAGGACGGCCCTCCACAGCAAAGACTCATCCAGCCCCAAATCTCAGTAATTTCACTGTCAAGAACCCCTATTCTATTTATACATGCTTTCCCTTTTGCCTGTCTTCACCTATTTTTAAAATGTTCACCTTGCTAAGTTATGTGTTATTGCAGGTCATCTTAAAACCTTTTGGGAGCAAGAAGGGGAACAGAGAAAAGGCACAAATAAAATCTTAGCTGATGTCAATAAAATTTAGTAAGCCAATAATTTCCTAAGCAACATTAACTTACCCAAACTATTTGCTGTTTATTGCAATTTATTTTCACAATCAATGTTAATCTTTTTAAAAAATAATACAGCAATAGAAAGCATTTCAAATGGAAGATGTATTAAATGCTAATATCATTTCTGTCTTTGGTTTTGTAATTAATTCTCTGAATCACATACTTCAATTAGCAATCTAAGAAGTGTTGGAGAAACATTCTAAAATACATTCCTAGATCAAACCACAATGGCATTCACCCAAACAGAGGTTTCATTTCTTAAGAGAATTGATTTTCTTTCTCCCCTTCTGAAAGAAATATGTAAATTAGCACTTTGATACCACTATCTCACATTTGTCTGTCAACTCAACTTTAAGAAACTCATTTTCTTTGCTTATGAACATCTCAACACACACGCACACATGCACACACACGGGCATGCACACACACTCACCCACACCACCAGAAACACAGTATCACCTCAGCCCCAAGGACAGAGCACCACAAGGCAGGCGTCTAATCGCAACCGAGTCTGATAATGTACACTAAGCAATAAATCCAATGGTCTAAACAGGGGGAAAGAAAGTTAATATTATTTTACAGTTTTTAAAAACATGACATTTCTGCATATAGTTTTTGGACCATAAGTCACTTTTCCAAGTATAGGTTAGAAACTGACATTCAGGAAAACACAGAGAATGTATTAATTTGACTTTGCATATGTATCACCTGTTTTCCTGTCACTTTAATATTCTAGATGTTCCTCTGACCTTTATTTAGGGATGGGATCTGTGCTTGAAATTACTTATCTGAAGTCATTAAGTTCGCTTGATACCATCAAGTCCCCATCAGCAAAATAACTAAAGATTCTGACCAGGGTTAACAAGCAGGAAGAAGACATACTTCTCACCAGTTTTTTCCCTCAGTAAAGTCAGAGGGGCCACAGAATTTGACATTATGTGCATGCTTACCCCTAAAACAGAGAAAGTAGACTCCTAGATCATTTCTATTACCTTTTCCATTTACCAATGAGGAAACGGATTAAGAAAGATTAATCCGAGGCTGGGAGGTGACATGTTGACTAACGCACTGGACTCCCACATGGCTGACAGCAGTTCAAGTCCCAGACCTGGCCACTTGCTTTCTCACTTTCTCTCTCTCTCGTGAAATCAAATTAATAATTTAGTTAATATTTTTTTTAAAAAAAGAAAGACTAATCCTTTAGTTACCAGCTCAATAGGAGATACTACAAGAAATCAAGCTCAAGATTCTGAACTCCAAAGCTCACACTTTCCATTGTTCCAAACTGCCTCCCAGAGAAGGGCTACCAGTGGGTGAAGCAATGAAGTCCTGGAAAGTTAAACTTGTCTTCTTCTTATACCTATGGACTAGGAAGACTAACTCAGATAAGACCAGACCTCAGTCTCCAGGGTCAACCAATCCTAAATAGCAGCCTATATGAGCAGATTCTAAAGATCCTATGGCTGACATCCCTAAGTCAGAATTATAGAATCACAGAATATTAGCAGTCAAAAAAGACCTAAAACTCATCTGCAGTCTAATTCCCTGGGTTTACTGGAAAACTGAGGCCCACACAAATCAAGTGCTCAGGTTTATGAATAGACAGTGCATGAATGCAGATCAGAGCCCAATCTCCACACCTAAAATCTACTGCCGACCACACCGTGCTCTTGCAACTCACTTTGCTTCCTATGAACTCATAGCAGTCATCACTCTATTTTAATCTATTTCTGTGACTTCCTATTTTATTATTATTTTTTAATTACTAGAGGGTATATGTACTCCCGAGAAAGAGAAAAAGACAAAGAGAGGAAAAGAGAGAGAGGGAAAATACCCCACTACTGGGACATGACCATGTCATAATCCCTCTTCTCCATTTCTCCATTTTGTCAAGATCTGGGGCATGCATGTGCACATGCCCAGGCTGCTGGATTTGAAACACTGTCAGCCATGTGGGATCTGGCTCCCTTAACTACTAGGCCATAGCACAGCTCTGATTTCCTATAGTTTTCCATTTATACATGGTCTATCAACCCAGAGGTGTTTTTTGAAAAAATATTTAACCGAGTATCTACTATGGATCAAACATTGTGCTAAAAGGCGGAAGACAGAGAATAGAAAAACTAGTCATCTTTCTCAGGGCACCTCCAGCCCAGTCCACAGACACAAAACCATAATCATAACACATCATGGCAAATGTTGGGATAGCATTGGAAGTAAGGGACTGCAGGGCATTGGGCGGAGGTATGGTCCGGGAACTAGTTAATTTCTTACCCCTCCTGAGCTAGCTGAGCAATACCCACCCAGTAAGGCTATGGTGTTACTTCACATCTTGACTTACATTTACTCAGATTACAGTCTTCTAAGGGACCTCGAGGTCAGTTGAAGATGAAGCACAGAGTGATATCTCAATGCATGCTGATTTCCCTTCTGATTGGGGGCTTCTCAAACCCATCCACCACATTCTAACAGGTAAGAAAGACAGAGTCTCTGTGGCCTCATTAGTATGTTCATCTTAACAAGGCCCTTTTATAGTCTACACGTCTGTCCTCTATTAGGGGCCCTCTGCTTCACCACAAGCCGGAGGCTCTAGGAGTCATGCAGCATTTCCTGAAGGGACTAGAGAGCAGGAGGAAGGTAAGGGAGCCAAATTCAGGTATTTGGTCATATACAGGTGAATACATTTCAGGTTCATCTATAAAATAGGGACTAAGATATCCTCCTCATAGGATTCTTATGGACTAAGTGAACTGATCAATATAAACCTATTAGCATCACATCAGACAATAGAGGACAATTGCTTATTATCCCCCCTCCCACCCTTCTTTAGCCTAGTTCATTTTGTCTGAACCGTAAAAGAATAATTGGAACTTCTGTTCAATAACATTCCTCAAAGTTAAAAGTAAACTTAACACATGTTTCTGGAAGAAAAAAAAATCTTCAAAATAAACTCTTGTAAAATAATGCTTAAGTTCTTTAACTAGATCAACATCATAAATTAATATTCATCCCATGATTAAGAGGAAAAACAGCTGTTTGAGCAAGTCTGCAGTGAATAGCAGTAGCAAAGTGAACTCTGACCAAGCAGGCAAAATAAATAAAGTTTTCTTAAGAATTATTTCACAAGTTCTCAGCAGACCAGGGCTTACCTGTTTAAAACCAAGATAATTTAGAAAAATACAGAAAGCTCATCCCTGAGAAATCGGAGAATGTTAAAGAGGGCGAAATGGCTCTGGGGAGAGGGAATGCAAGGCCCTGCTAACTATTAATACTTTCATGAGCTTCTTCTTCTCCTTCTTCTATTTTGAGAGATTTTTGGTATAGGGCACATGCACTTGCCGGAGAGACAGAGAGCTAGAAAGCGAGAGATCGCCCTCCACGGAGATGGCCATGCTGCAACTCCCCCTCCTCCACTCTCCTCTCAGGATCTTGGGCACGCACACACACGTACCTGGCATGGGTTTTAGGCTTCCAGGTCTGGGACTGGAACGGTAGGTGACCACATGGGAGTACAACACCTCAACCACCACGCCACTTGCTGGCCCCACCCAGGCCACCTTCTTAAATTCATGATCCTCCTTTCTCAGCCTCTCCAAGTCTCTGAGATTACAGGCATATACTACCACGCCAGACCTTGAAGCTGAACCTGGAATCTAACCTGGGCTTCCCATGTGGTCCCAGCCACACAAGTCTCAACAGTGTATACCACTGCAGCCAGGTCAGCTTTCATTCATTATTAAAGGAGAAAAATGGTCAGCTGCCATGGCACAGCAGCGACGTAATCCTCCCTCACGCTGAAGCCATATGAGAAGGCCTCAGGTTCATGTCCCAGGGTCTGCCTGTACATGCTTTGTGCATATATCGGCCTGTGATCCTGGCTGGCTTAGGTTGGGGTAGATGACAGCATGAAGACTCCACTGGAGGGGTCTTTGGAATAAATAAATAAGCTTTAAAACAAACAAAGAAGCAAAAAAAAAAAAAAAAAAAAAAAAAAAAACCAAAAAAAAAAAAAAAAAGAGAAAGAGGGAATAAACAGAGAAAGCAAAGGGAATGGAGAAGAAAGAGAAGGAAAGGGAGAGTAAAATATAATTAAATAAGAGATGTTCAGGAAAATGATGCCGTTCTTGTCTCCCAGGCCCCTGAGTTCCCCTACAGCCATATTATCTCACGTTTGGACTGAAAGCTGTATCCTACTATGGAACTGAAGACCAATCTTTTTTAAAAATAATTATTTTATTTAACTTTATTTTATTTGACCAAAGAGGGACAGAGTGAGTGAGTGAGAGAGAGAGAAAGTGAGAACGCAAGCCATCAGGTCTGGGACTAAAACTGTCGTTGGCCAAATGGGAGTACAACACCGCTAGCCACCACATCACCTGCTGGTCCCTAAAAGACCAATCTTAATCCTTAGCAAAGTAATTTAGTAAATAATATGTATTATTAAATAAATGATTGTACACATATCCCATGGTGATACATTTTAAAATCCCGACACCCAAAGCCAGTAGCTTCCTGGCTCAGTACCAGCTCCATCTTACTCCTGGTTCCCATCTGACCAAGTTCTTGACGTGCTACCTACCCTCCCTCCCTGGGCTTAGCTCCTGCTTCACAATTACCAGTCTCTTGCTCTATGTCCCAGAACCCAAGGTCTGGGGGCCACCTCATGCCTAGGGTTTTCACTGACTGCCTCTGAAATGCAGCCTGGTGGGGACAGGGCCCCATGGGGTCTGGGCTCAGTGCTCTTGGCTTACCTGAGACACCAGCAAATGCCTGCCCTGCCTTTGCTGGAGGCACACTCT